TATTATTTATTATTATTATTATTATTATTATTTTAGGAGAGTAAACCACAGTCACAAAATAAGTAGCTCACAGCTCCCATTCATTCCACACCCATTGTTGGGGACAATCTCTTCATCAGCATTTGCATCTGTCTGCACATTTCTGTGGTGAATCATACCTGAAAACTGATTTGGTTTCCATAGTTTTGAACTATTATTTATATGGAAATAGGCACGTTTATTGCTGTAGAGTGCATTTTTAAACAGTACAGAGATCATTCGTTTTAACTAATGACATGTAATATTGTTCATTTTGGTCCAAATCACATTTAATATTGTTTTCCTGGTCACTGACCTGAATTAGCCAAGGTATGAAGTGTAGGAAATGAGTCATGCTGAATTTAGAGTGCATTTGCATCTGTTCTTTCAGTTTGTTTGCTTAAGTAATGTTAGCTGCATATTATGCGTATCCAGAGGACAAATGCAAATATTCAACCATTTTTTTCTTGTTTTTCAGGTGGACTTTATGTAATGAGCCAGTAAAAAAATATGATTTGGAGGTGGATTATTTACTCTGAATTATTGAAGGACTTTACCAATGAAGTGACTTTTTCTCTTCTAATATTGCACATGGCGAATGTACTACATTAAACTGGATGTGCTAATTAAGATTTGTAGTTGCCTGAGAAGACTGCTGGTTATGTGCTAAACAGTCCTGTTTTTTCACTTAATAGGCACTGATGGTAATACCTAAAAAGTGTGGATTAAAAAGGTCTACATTGTTTTGTAAAAAATTCGAAAATTGTATTTTGGATCTCAAATATGTCTTTAGCACGCTTGGTTTTAGAGAGAAAACAGCTCAAGTCTGGTCATTGCAGAATGTCAATGGCTTTCCGGTTGTACTGCATTTTCAGCTTGATGCAAGCAGCTGTTGGCCAAGAATATGCCCACTCTATTCGAGTAGAAGGCGACGTTATACTTGGTGGCCTCTTTCCAGTTCATTCAAGAGGAGAACGAGGGGTGCCTTGTGGGGAACTTAAAAAAGAAAAAGGGATCCATAGGCTAGAGGCAATGATGTATGCTATAGACCAGATAAACAAAGACTCGGACCTTCTTCCAAATGTTACATTAGGGGTCCGCATCCTTGACACTTGCTCAAGGGATACATATGCACTGGAGCAATCCTTAACATTTGTGCAAGCTTTAATAGAAAAAGATGCAACTGATGTCAGATGCGCCAATGGGGATTCGCCAATTTTCACCAAGCCGGACAGAATTTCTGCAGTGATAGGAGCTGCAGCGAGTTCTGTATCAATTATGGTTGCTAATATATTAAGGCTATTTAAGGTAAGATTCTTTTTTTTGCTAAAGATTGTGTTTTCAAGTGCTTTGTCTATGACTAACTGACTCTTTCCTTGAAGCAGAATAATTTATGCAAAGCATGCTTCTTTTAATGGTTTACATTGCCAAGCTCTGAAGCAGCATGTGTTAGTGGAGTACTGAAGTAAATGAAATGTTTGTCTGCCAGGAGCCTTTGCATTCTCGCTTTCTTGTTTTAATGACCCATTTCCCCCTGTTAGTGCTGGAATCATCATTGTAGCAAGTGCATCTAATCTGGTGACACACAGTCATTTTGTACTTCTTGAAAAGATTTCTGCAACAAGATATGTTTTTCAGTTCCTCTTATAACCGCATCCAAACAAGGAACGCCATTAACAAAATACATTGATCAATAAAGTCAGTAAGGAACATTGTGTGCGTTGTGCCAGACTGAGATATGTAGATTAAATGAGAATCCTTTATGATGCATGAGTCAAATGTAATACTCTTATAACCTCTGCGTAATTTATTTTTATAACAGCGGTGTCATAAGCAAAAGTATCACATCATTCAGATGTGTGATGGCACATTAAAAAGTTATCGACAGTTTTTTCATGATTCACAGTGTTTATAAGAAAAAACGGATGTGTTCTATTACAGCTTGGGCACGTTATTCATATTTAAAGAATAATTCAGTTTTTAGTGATAACCAAGGAATGGGTTTGTATTGCTTCAGTAATATTTTTCTTAAATGCATGTCTTTACTCTTTTATTATAATTTTGCCAGCATAACTGTCATATGCTCTTTGAAATTCAAAAGCCCAACTCCTTGCATAGAGCAATCATATAGTAAAAATGGCTTGCACCTAGTCAGTCTAGGTGTGTAGTAATTGCATAATTCTGTTTATGGTTTAAGTTTTAAACCTATTGTCTGTTTATCTGCAGTTTATATGTAGCTTCCCCACCCCTAACCGTGCCTAACTTTGTAGTCTTCTGAAGTGTGTAGTTCCTAAAATCTGTTGCCAATGTGCCACTTTCCAAACTATCTTCTACAAGTATACCCTAAAATAGAAGATTCAAGGTGAAATCTAATGATATATAGTCTATTACTAGGCACTGGCAGATAGCAACAGATGAAGTTCTGGTTACTTTTTGAATGTTTCTGTGTCTATAGTTATGGCTTGGGCATGCTGAACTGCGAGAGTTACACACCTGTAAACATTTCTTATGAAAGTGCAAACCTACGGTCTACATACAGTAGCTGTAATACCTGGGCTTTACACAGGTGCCCTCAAATCATATGTAAGGCATGTATGCCCATTTTTGGCAAACAAAACCACAAAGCTTCTAAGTCACTCCCTTATAATCTCTCACCTCGACCACTGTAACCGCCTCCTTGTTGGCCTACGACTAAACAGCCTATCCCCGTTCAGTCTATCTTAAATGCTGCTGCCAGACTCATCCACCTTACCAACCGTTCAGTGTCTGCCACCCTCTCTGCCAATCCCTTCACTGGCTCCCAATTGCCCAACGAATAAAATTAAAAATACTAACAACAACATGCAAAACCATCTACAACTCCACCCCAACCTACATCACCGACCTCATCTCAAAATATCACCCAAACCGTCCTTTCCGCTGCTCTCAGGACCTCTTGCTCTCTAGCTCTCTAATTACCTCCTCCCATGTTCGCCTCTAGGAGTTCTCCAGAGTGTCCCCATCCTCTGGAACTCCTTACCCCAATCTGTCCGCCTATCTCCTACGCTGCCCACCTTTAGGTGATCCTTAAAAAACCCATCTCTTCAGGGAAGCCTATCTCAGAACAACATAACTGCCCTTTTACTTATAACCAACCCAGTAACTCAATCTAAGCAATTATTACCTTCTGTATCAATTGCCCCTCCTATTAGATTGTAAGCTCTCACGAGTCGGGCCCTCCTAACCCTATTGCACTGAAATTGTATTGTGAACTGTATTGTAACTGTACTGTCTTCTCCATTTTGTAAAGCGCTGTGCAAATTGTTGGCGCTATATAAATTCTGTATAATAATAATAATAATGTCTGTGCGTTTGCCTGTGGTTTCAGGTTATTTTCAGAGTGCTCAGCAGACCCAAAACCAGACCCAGTTATACTTAGAAGTGATTGGGTGTACATACAGTAGAGGGAGCCAACAAGAATGTGACCATGGAAGCTCTGTTTAGATTTTTCTTAGTAGATTCCCCCAGGTTTTCAGCCTTTTAATTCCTATAAAATTGATCTGAAAATGTGCACATACATCTGGAGATACCTACTTTACAGTCTGGGGGCACAAACAGTGGAGGTACACTTGAAAGTTGACTAAGTTATGATTGACCCACCAATATAGTACAGTCATCAGGTTCTGACTGAGGTACTGTGGTTAATTCGTTTTTAAACATAAACAGTGTTATTTGTCAGGATATAATTTAGGTGACAGTGGAATTCACAGCATGTATCTTGAAGGCTAAGGTTATGAATCAATAATTGCTAGAACACTGTAATTTTAGGTATCCCTGCATGCTGTAATCTGATATACAATGTCTACTGTGACTATTATAATGAAATAGGAAGCTGATGTGGATCTCAATGAAAGGGATAGGACACACTTTGGCTCCTGCTAGTCTGTATCTATTTACCGTTGATATACTCTAAGGTTTCTACCTCATAACTTGGAATGCTAGAATGTTTAGAGGCACATTGCCTCTCTGGCTTAGCTTGCTGTAACAAAGGACTTGGCTCACAGTCTCTTCTTTACTAGATAAAGTCTTTTTTTTTCTGTCTGCAACCAGCTATTTCATTACTAGCACAACTGGGTGGAAGATGTCACTGCTCTGATTACTGAATTTATTTTGCAACAAAAATGTATACAGAAAAATCTGAAATGACTTCTGAAAGTTTGCAATATATTGAAAATCATGTATGAAAATTCAGAGAAGATAAAAATGTGGCTGTTGATTCTCCGGTCCTCAATGAGCAGGGGGTGTGCACTGAGCTGTGCATATGCCATAGGCAGTGTACATAAAATGAAAAAACATTTGGGAGCAGGAGGAAAGACATGAACAACTCTACCTCCTAGCCATTTTTTTTTTTTACTTCAGTTCTGCTTTAAGAGGAGTCTGTATATTTCTTAGAGCAACTAATTGGATTAAAATCATCTTCTCTGCCTATCATTTTCTGCTGTGTCTTTAAACCTGTTTGGTTGTCAGCAGTTACAGCTAAATGCGGAAGGTTCGATTTTAAAAATGAATCCACAAATTTATTTGAACACAAGATGTACTATTCATGGGCAGCTGTGTCTGATAGCTAGGTCTTCAGTATACTGAATTTAAATGCAAATCTTGCCTTTTCTTGTAACAGTTAAGCTTGGCCCATGCACAGTTCCAAAGGCAGAGATGCCAAAGTTTGCCTCCCTCCCTCCTCCAGCTGATATGGATGGAGTCTATGTATTTGCACATACAGTGGCCAGGCCTGCACAGAGAGCAGAAATGACAGCCTCTATTCATCAGCCAGAGAAGGACCGGGTATAGGGCATTTCTCCCCAGGCCAGTACAAATGATATATGTTGGTAACTCTCAGTAGAGATTCAGGGCTTAATCAGAAATGGAACCTGTAGTCACTGACAGCTGATGGCTATGATATAAATACCTGTTCAGACCTGCAATTCCAGCTTCTGCTATTAAACTCTTTTGTCTTTTACAACAGTAGGTAAGAATGAAATGAAAAATATGATGTAATTTTGCATGTGTATAAGCATTCTTTAGGAACAAAATGCATATTTTAGCATGTGAAAAAAATAATAATTGGTCAACCAGTGAAAGGGTTAAAGAACTCCCCACACTGCAAGGGTTAAGTGGTCATTTGGTCTGGTGGGCTCAAATACAGCAGGTTTACCTGATTCAGTCCCTGCAGCCTTTTCCTCCCTGGGCTCCAGCGCTCTAAGGTTTGCTGACATGATCATGTCTTATGCAGGTCCATTGACCTGCATTAGATGTGGGGATTCCAAGGGACATTCCATAGCTGGAATGGAGGTAGAGAGAGGTGAGGGCTGACTGTCACAGGACAGACGATCAGGTGAGTAAAAATGCTTTACTTGAGCCCCTTAGACAAAACAAGCACTTAACCCTTGCAGTGTGAGGCTTGCTCCACTGCAAGGGTAAGTTTTTGATTTTCCCAGAGTTCTTCTTTAAAGACCTTTTGCATGGTTTTTGGAATATTTCATTTTGGAATTTTCTCAAGGTAAGAAAGGTGACTACATAGAATATGAGTGCACTACAATGCTGATAATGATCAGCCATAATCTTCTACTGTTGCTAAATGTATTGCAAATATTTATAATATTATAATTTAAACTAATATAACTTAAGTTATGACTACATATTTTTGCAAAAGGTGATATTTGTGGGGGAGGATACTAAGATTCATGATTTTGCATACTTATTCAATAATGGAGAATCCAACAGATACTCATGGGTTGTTTTTTGGAGAAGAGACCAGACTTGGTCCTGTAAATTCCAGATTCCACTGCCTACCCCCCCTCCATACCTCACTTTTTTCATGTGCTTATCTAATTTATGTATTGCAATATTATCTATCTATCTATCTATCTATCTATCTATCTATCTATCTATCTATCTATCTATCTATCTATCTATCCATCACAGTTATGTCTGTCTATCTTCAACATGTCTACCATTTGCTTCCATATGGTGAGATGTTAAAAGTTGGCTTTTGTTTGGCATGTAAACTTTTGTAGATTCAGAGAGGATAGTTCTGGCAGTTTTATGGCTTATAAAGCAATGACAGATTGAGGTACAGTAGTGATCTGTTGAAATGCAAAAGCTGGGGTCACGAGAATGTTTCTCATGGGGCGTCATTTCCCAGATTTATCATGAATTTGTAGCGAGGCTGTGTATTAGGATAACATTGCTCTGCTGAAACCTTGAAAGCTTTTCATCTGTTCCTTTCTAAGCATGAGTATCAGATCCTACACTGCACAAGATTTGTGAGT